GAGAGTCTTAGAAGGATGTACAGCTACCAATATGGGGCCCACAGGGAACTTTCTTAACCTGACAGTGACATTCCAAGCAGCTTAATAGTATAGGGTACAGCAACAAAACAGGTAAATCTTTAAAGGAAGAAACGAAGCTAATATTATATATAGAAAATTTGATTCTTGCATTAAAGAATCAGATAACAATTTGTATGAATTTGAATACTTGTACCAAATTTGTTGTATTCAAATACATTGGAAAAAGTTAAAAGATGAAGTTTAAGAATATTAATATTATAATGGCAATACATCATCTGAGATCCCAAAGAACAACTTTAATTGAGAGCAAGTGGGAAAATTATAGAAAATATTTTGGGAGGAAAAAAAAACAGCAGAAGAAAACTAAATTGATAAGTTGATGGATATACCATGGTCCTTGATGAAGATATTGCATATGTTATAACAACAGATTTTCCTACATTAGTCTATATACCCAGTACAATTCCAACACACAAAATTTTAAATGATATTTTAATCGTGTATGTGTGTCAGGGGGTGTGGCAACTTGAGGGAATTTGTTCTCTTCTACTGTGTGGTGAATTGAAACCATATTGTCAGGCTTGGTAGCAAACACTTTCAGCCACTGAAACTTTGAATTTGATAGGATGAATCTAAAATTCATGACCAGGAGCCAATTAAAACAAGCTGAAACTTAAAGTAAAAGTCATGCTTTAAAGATTACATAACGATTACCTTATAGAAAACTTAAAGACATGTTTTTAAACATGACCCAGAAATTATCCAAAACTGCAGACATAATTTAAGCTGATTATAATAAATATTACCAAGCCTGAACCCTGGAGACCTACTGGACATTGTGATTTTTTTTGCTAATTAATGTACTAAATATTGCTTCTCATATAAAAAAAATAGATAGCTTCTTATCTCACACTAAAACATTAATTTTAGCCAGATTAAAGATCAAGGAAGAAAAATTAGGATTTGTGGAACAAAGCACAAGAGGACTATGAGGTTTGAGTAGGGTGTTCTGGTTGCAAAAATCAGTAAATAATAAAGCATTTCCTGGAAAGAAAGGCATGTTTAAACTTCACGATCAGTTTTACAATACTAAGAAAGGTGCTCTGAAAACAGCAAAAAGAGAAGCCACTGACAGGAAGAAAATATTGTCAGTAAATACAAGCCGCAAAGATTTTTCCCTCTAGAATCTCAGAGAACACAGACATCCGTCCACATCAATACAATGCAGATGGAATGTTGAAGCCTTTGTGTTCCTTGGTTGTTACAAACAAACATCCCGTCTCTGAGAAAATGGATGAGCATGTTGGGATTCACTGATACACTGGAGCAGTACATGTGGAAATAAACTCATCTGTCTCACAAATAGAGAGAGAAAACTTAAAATTGAATGAAAAAATATATTTACCTGTATACTGGCTGTGTTATATTCTAATTGTATTTGTGTCTCCCAAGTGTACAAGCCTTCTCTCAAAGGTATGTTCTTTTCACATATTCACATATTTTTTTCACATATTCAAAGTGTCATGTGTTTGGAATTGCAAGCCTAGGAGAGCACTTGACAAAGCTGGTGTCCTCCCCTGAGATGGCTTGTAATGGTGGTCTTTGGCAGGTTTTCATTTAAAGATGTTTGTTTGCTGCTCATTGACAATATATGTCCACTGTATGGTAAAATATTAATATATTTTCATCATGAAACTGCTACATGACTATCAAAACATGAAAATGTTTCAGGAAGATATACACTAGAGTGTTAAATATGTTAATATACAAAAGTGCCATTAAATATATTTTGGATTTCTTTTGTTTACATGTGGTAAATGTCTAAAAGCATATATTGGAAGCAATGAGCTAACTTTAGTAGTTGAACATGCCAAACAGTGCTGCTCAATATGGCTTCTTTTCAGAGAGTTTGTCTACGTAGCCTCGAACCCACCATGTAAGCCCAGGGTGACTTCAAACTCATAGCCCGTCTACCTTGGTCTCTCAAGTGCTGGAATTACAGATGTGAATCATTATACCCAACTTCTTATTTCTTAAAAGACAAAAAAAAAAAAAAAACCAGAAAATATCTGTATCAAAAGTGAAAAATGCTAGCCATCTCAAATGGGAACATGTGATATTAGTTTCTGTATTCTTATATGTATATAAAAATGCTTTAAAAGTACTAGTCTACTAAAAAGGAACAGAGAGTTAAATAGCCAAATTCTTTTCACTCGCCCTGTTTCCCAGATATTTGAGTCATACAGAACTCTGCTCTGGAGGCTCACTCTGCAGTAGTTGGCAAACCATCCCTTGAAGGCTCACTCTGCAGTAGTTGGTACAGCATCCCTGGAGGCTTACTCTGAAGTAGTTGGTAGAACATCCCTTGAGACTCACTGCAGTACTTGGAACAGCATCCCTGGAGACTCGCTCACTCTACAGGAGTTGGTACAACATTCCTGGAGGCTCACTGACGAAGTTGGTAGAGCATCCCTTGAAAGCTCACTCCGTAGTAGTTGGCAGACAGTCCCTTGAATACTTACTCTGCAGTAGTTATCACAACATCCCTGGAGGCTTGCTCTGCAGTAGTTGGTAGACTATCCCTTGAAGGCACACTGCAGTTGTTGGTGCATCATTGCCTGGAGGCTCACTCTGCAGTAGTTGGTAGAGTATTGGTTTGTAAATGGGCAGGCAGGTGATTTGAGTGGGCTCTTTCTGTGACTTCTTTGGGGTAGATGATGCCTTCTGTGCTTCAAATGACATGCTTTTGTGCCTTGATAAATTTGGGTTATTAGCTATTATAAATAAAATATAAGTATATTATCAGAGTCACTTCATTGATCATTTTCAGACTTTTGCCTACAATTCTGTTTCTAACTTAGACACATACTGCTCTTTGAACATTCAAAATATTAGGGTACAAGTGACATTTTCCTTTATGCCATGAGACAAATGACCTGATAAAGTCACTGATCTGTTAAGGCACTCTGCCCCATTTAGCCTTTGATGATGGATCTGGGGTACTAAAGACACTATAAAGATTTCTGAATCTTTGTAAGATAAAGTTTTGTTCAATGTGGTTTTAGTTTCTGTGATCAACTTCCAAAGAAATAAAATAGTGCTCACTGGCGTCAGTTGTGGAACCCCAGAAGACCCAGGTTGTGTCTCTGCCAGTTTCACCCAGGCAGGAGTTCCTGGGCATGCTGAGTAAAACTTCCCTCTTTAAACTGTATGGTATATATTCCTCTGGTTCTGTGACTTTATATTGTGTTGTTTATGAAATGTTCATCTTTCCATGCCATGTACCTACACCCCAGAGTCAGTGGTGAGGTTAGCGGTAAGTGGCCTTTCTTATAATTAGAGACCTATCTTGGGACAGGCGGAAGCTCAGGATGTTCTCTACAAAATGAGCAAGTCTTTGTTTGAAAGATTAACTCCATCCCCACTGCTCCAACTGGCAGAATTGCCTGAGCAGATCAACGCCTTGAGTGAGCTTTCCTAACCGGGTCCCTGTTGCTGTTCATCCGCGGAAGCACAGGCTCATTCCCCATTGTGGGTTTGTTGACAGCTTTTCCGTGGAACAGTTTGAGGAGTGGAGAGCCCTGTTTCTGAGACAGAGAAGTGTTTTCACACCTGAAGTGTAATCTCACACCTTGTGTTTCTCAGCAGATAAGTGCATAAAATATCACATCAAACCAGAATAGGAAAAAAGATCAACGAACAAAGAAAACTGTGGGTTGTAATTTGCTTCCTACCTTACAGTGCTCTGAGAGGAAATTACAGAGATCTGGGTTTACACTTTCAAAGAGTTTGCCTGGTGACTTGATGGGAAAGTAAGTTGTACACGCTAAGCTCTCTGCCCGCACTGAACAGAAAGTACAGAATGATGGACCTTAGAGGCAACATCCTAACATTTTGATGTTTTTTTTAATAGTAGCATGCATGTAAATTAGAAGCAAAAGTTTTAGTTAAAAGTCCAAAAATGATCAGTGAAATGATTTTGATAACACGCATTTTCAAGGATAATTTTCTTTGTAATGATTCATTTAGGAATTTTGGCCAAAGTAGATGATGCTAGTAAAATTTGGATATTTTCTTCTCCTTTTTGTAACTATAAAGAAGGCCTTAGTTGCTGCTTCATAGTATTCTAGTGTAGGGGGTTTTAAAATTGGAGGTCTTGCTTGGTTTCATTGTTTGAAAACATGAACTTGAAAGAGAAAAAGGTCTGGCTTTCTGTCTTGTCATGGATGTTCATTATAAAATTATTTGTTGAAAACTGAGCCCCAGTTAGAAACTAAGCCAGGCATGGAGGTACTGTGTTATGTAAGGCAAACCCTCTCTTTACCTCTGAGGGACTGGCAGTCTGTGGATGAGAAACCAGGTAGTGACCATGAGTGCTATGGTAGGGTCAACCTGGGTGCTGGCGGAAGTGGAGTCACATGGCTTGTAAAGAAAGTGTTGGTATCAGTTAGGAAAGATGGATTGCCACTGGATATCAGGGCATTGAGAGTTTTCCCAGGGGAGTTGAGGGGGTGAAGCTTGTGGGCTGGGGTTCCAGCATGAGATGGTCTAGAGAATGTGTTGACTCTGAGGAAAACAAGAAGAGAAGATACTCTTCAACCTAGACAGAAAACAGTGATTTGACTCTGAATGAAAATCCCGCACGTGGAGAAAAAGAAGGCATGTTCATTTTGCTACATAAATGAAGCTCTGTCTGGATGGCCACAGCCCATTGCATATATCTCTGTGTATCTCCATACATACTCTGTGCAAGCAGAGGTTCTAACGAACCTCAGAATGTACCATACTGACTTGTGTGAAACAATAGACATATCGGGCAATACTCCTTCTCCTTAATAATCTATGCATGACGTGGTGGTCCAGACCTGAAGCTACCATGGCGAGGAGAAATTTGCAGCCCATGTGAAGATTACAGCTAAGCCAGTGCAGGACAAAGCACAGACCTTGTCTCACCCTCCTCTTGTTTGTTTTCACTGTAGATACATATGGAAAACTCTTCCTCCTCAACTGTGTGGGTCAAGAGATGTCCCGATGCAAGACATCCGTTCGACGCGGCCAACCCAACCCTGTCTACAAAGAGACCTTTGTCTTCCAGGTGGCCCTCTTCCAGCTCTCTGATGTTACCTTGATGATTGCCATTTACAGCAGGCGCACTATGAAGCGGAAAGAGATGATTGGCTGGCTTGCGCTGGGCCAGAACAGCAGTGGGGAAGAGGAGCAGGAGCACTGGGAGGAAATGAAGGAAAGCAAAGGCCAGCAGATATGCAGGTGGCATACACTGCTGGAATCCTAAGCTTACCAGGGGCTTTTGTGTGGTGTATCAGCCTTGATCATCTGACACCAAGTCAGAGCATTGTGTGTGTGTGTGTGGGGGGGGCTTTCAAATTGAGAATTTTACTAATCGTAAGGCATTCTGTGGTTTAGAACTTCATCAAAGGTTTGATTTTCATTTAAATGTAACGAAGGGAAAGCTACTTGCAGGGCCAAGTGCGCAGGTGGGGAAAAAGTTACTCTGGTTGAGACCACTGGTGATGTCATAATTTGTGCTAATGGATGGTTGTGTTTTGGTTCGCACTATGGGATGCAGCTTCTCCTGCTTTCTCTTTTTGGTTGGAGAACAGACTGAAGTTTCAAAGGAGCTGGAACACTACTGTTTTCCAGCACTGAGGTGTATGAATCAGACTCTTCTTGGTGTTCACATTTCCAAAACAGAGAAAGGAGTCGGATGCTGAGGGTTCCAGAAAGATGTAACCAATCCACAATCCTCTGCCATGCCTACTCTCTTTATATATNTATATATATATATATATAAAAGCTCTGTTTATTTAAAAGGTAATTGTTATAAATGTGTGGTATAAAATAAATTTGTATTCATGAAATGCCTCATTTTTCTCAATTAGATATCACAATTTCTAAAAGAATTGGGTTAGACAAATCATCTTGAAGTTGTAAAAGAGTTAAAAACTGACTGTTATCCGACCTATCTCTTTTTGAATATGTAAGATATCAAAAATCAAGGGTTTTGTGCTTTTTTTTTTTTTAAAACCGTACCAGTACCTAAAGAACAAGAAGAAAACCAAATAGATAATAAAGTCTTGGCTTTCTTGATGTTTCCAAATCTGGAGTTCATTTGGATTATACCTTTTCTATAGACAATGATATTAACTCACGCAAGTGATTTTTGTATGTACACCTGTGTGTAAGCCACGTTCATCTTTATGCTACGTACCCTACCAGTAGAACATAGTAAAATGCGTACAGTGGATCTTAACAAATACTGATTCGATTGACTTGTGGGGATGAACATGTGAACCCCTCTGAGAGAAGGCATAACGTCATTTTGTAGAGAGCGACACTGAATTCTTTGAGCGTTGAGAATCCCCAGCACTGCTATTTCTCACAGGCGACAATATGTCTTAGTGACTCCTTGACTTCTGATCACGTGCTCTTTATATGCTGACCGTGTATGGTTCTGGACATAGGGTTTTACTGATGAGCGGCTTTTACATATTTTTGCAGTGACCTTTTATTTGCTTTATTCCTCGATCTGAGCTCTTAATTTCAATGCCTTCCACCTGGACTCGATAGAGGGGGAGGGAATGCACACTTAACCCTGTTCTCTGAGCAATTGCCCAGTCGTTTATTCTTAGCTTTTGATGTTTTCTTGTTGACTTTTACCCTGTCTGTGGGAAGAGTGATAGGTAGAGACGGATGCATACAGCCAAAGCCACGTCGCTTCTCCCTCGGCTCTGCATTTGGACAGATTGTCAGCGTAGGCTGCAAGACTTGGAGAACATATTTATTCCTTGCAATTTGTAATGGTTATCCTGACAAGACCAGGCAAGGGCATGGGATAACTCTACTGTGATCACAGGAATCAGATATTTGGAAGAAATCTCTTTATATGGAAGGGCAAGAATTTGCAGAATAAATTAGTACCTTCGTTTCTTTTCTGGTCCTTTGGGTTTTCCCCTGTCTTTCTTGGGAAGACCTGAGAGTGCTTTCTCAGCATCATGTCCATTAACTGCCTGGTGGGCTTTGCAGCGTGACTGTGTCACAGGGTAGAACTGAGTGCAATTGATGGAGAGCAGCGAAGAATTGGCTTTTCACATCTTTAAACTCCCTCTCTCTCTGTGCGCCTGTGTTTAAAGGGAAGTAGAGCAGCCTCGTTTTGCTTCCCTTTATGCCACTGGCATAATAGCAGCATTCATTTTAAAATTTACATTTGAAAAAAAATCTGTATATATTGTACAGACTAGCCCTGGGTTCTCCTCGCTCATGTTTGCCTGCATCCAGGGCTTTGCGGTCCCCAGTAATGACCGGCGCTTTCTGTTCTGCTCCTTGACTTGTCCAGTTTTAGGGTATTCTGCTGGGATAGTGGGCTTTACAGCTGTGTGCCCCCTTTCAAGAGGAAAGATGCCTGAAAAGCGTTTCCCCCACTTTTTAATAATTTCCTTTGTTTTTACCACCCGCCATATATAACACTTGTGCGTCTTGGTTATACAGCGGCGTTCACCCTCCATCGATGGTACAGACATCAAGTTCTAAAGACAAGATGCATTGAAATGCGAGGCTGAACATTTTTTTTTTAAATCTCAATTTGAAATTCTGCTAGGAAGATCTTTGGATTTGGTGCACTTAGACTCTCATATTTTCTTGGCAAAGTCTAGACCCAAATGCATTTAACATGTTTTTCACTTGAGCGTTTACAGCTACATTTGCCTCTCAAAAGAGTTATGAAAGATAATTAGTTGGCTCTGTGGTGGGAAAGCTGCCTTTGCCTGCTTTCGCTAGCTAATGATTAATATCTTGTGCAGAGCTTGACGTGGAAGCAATGCTGGGTTTTGTTGCTTGCTAGTTCTTTCCCGAAGAGTGAGCTTTGAAAACAATGTCATTGAGAGCACAGAGTTTATGGAAATATGTTTTATTGTGGGCCTTCTTTCAGGGCACAGGCTTCTGCTGACTTGAGAAGGGCTCGTTTCACCAATCACGGTGCTGGCTGTTATATTCTCTGATTCCCCTCTGACTGTTATTCTTTTTCTTTTTAATGGACTATTCACCAGAACAGACAAACACCTGCTCTGGGTTCCTTCTCCTTCACTGGCTCCCCGTGAGGGATGCACGGTTGTTTTGGACCCTGTGTTTGCCGATCAACTAACTGTTGGGCAGAGGGAATCCTGCTTTCCCTAACGTAAGAAGAATTTGCAGTGCCCATGAATGTAGTATTCTTAACATTCCTCCAGCGTAAGATCCCAGAGATGAACCACACCATGTTTGCAAAGAGGCACAACATTGCATTGTGGTCCTTCAACTTAGGTGCCGTTGGCTATGATGTGCTTGGATGACAGTTAGGGCACTGATGCTAATTTTGGCATTCTCCACAGTGCTATCTCCTATGGTATACCTGAAGCATACCTTCTCCCTCTTCAACATGACATTCACAACATTATACAATGATGGTTGCCTCTTGCTGTGATTTATGTTGTGGCTGTACTATAAGGTGTTATTTGAGAATCCAAATTCTTCTTCCCAAGTAATTTAATCTCCTAGAAAGTTTATTGGCCCATTGATCTTTCATTGTGGACACTGACCTGTGTATCCACCAAAGCCTGGCTATCCTTTCCATGCAGAGAACTTGGTATATGGAGGTATGAAAAAAGTCCTTTTTAAGTGACATGAAATCACATGGAAACAATTTGGGGACCGGGTCTTGCTGTACATGGAATGTACTGTATAGGCTGGGCTCGCCTTAAACTTGTGATCCTCCTGCCTCAGGCTCCAAAGCATTGAGATTACAGTAGTCATGAACTGCCAAGCCTGGTTTGAGGGCATAGCCTTTGCTGAGAAGTGAGTAGATCAGAAAACACATGTGATGCTTCTCCTTGAATTCTGTATGGAACTGCAAGTGAAGACAATTCCATTCTAAATCCCTAGTCAGAAGCAAATGACAGATGATCTTGAAATGACAGAAGAATTTTTATTGCCTGAAAAACCAATAATTTGTTTAGATAAGATATCAAAAAGCAGTGTGGAAGAAATAAAGGAATGAGTTGTAGGCATGATTGTCATAATTGATGTATATTCAAGAAGAATCTATAAATAGACCGAGAAAGGCATTTAACATCAACCAGCATGCAACAGTCAGTGGGATCCTGGACAATACTTAAAGGTGTGGAACAAAACAGATCCCTGGCAGTGGAGCAGGCACAGGCCATGTGCTCATAGCTTGGCTTCAGATGAAACACTGCTGTATGGCCTTAGTCCCAGCACTTGGGAAACAGAGGCAGGAGGATCTCTGTGAGCTTGAGGCCAGACTGGTCTACAAGAGCGAGTTCCAGGACAGCTAGGACTATTATGTTACACTGAGAAACCCTGTGTCAAAAACAAAAACAAAAAAAAATCCTAAAAAAGCAAAAAAGAAAATGACCTAGACAACCACACCCCAGTGTCCTCAAATGAAAATCAGAATTAGTGCTTGCCTCTAGGTTTCTTCTACGAGATATCAGTGAAGTCCCAGCTGTAATGTGACCGGAATAGAAGCTGGCACAAAGCTAATATCCCGTGTTTCCTCCTTATAATCGTACTTGAAAGAGAAGTACTGGGGGTTGACTACTTTTTCCAGGAATGCGATTACAACACCAGGCGGAAACGCAAAACATCCTTTTCAGGAACTTGAAGACCGCACCTTCGTGCCGCTGGCCTAGATTTGCACAGGAAAGTAGATCTTGTCAGGAGATGAGCGTGACAAATGAGCAAATGACATCATGATAGAGATGAGCCGAGGTGTAACCAGATCTCTGTCTATTACCCTCTTGGCTTGGAGGTAATGTAAAACCTGAATCATTGATGCTTGCATCTTGATCAGCCGCTCACAGGTCTTTCCTCAGCCCATGCTTCTGCTCATAGGCAGACTGGGCACGAAGTGTCCCCATCAAAAAGCTTGAGTTTGGTTATGTGTTTTAACTTGGCCTACAAAAATAAGCAGTGTGCTACTCCAGTGGCAGTCTTTAAAATAGATATATCTTTAAAACCCACATTCTATACTTATATCTTTGTAGATGAGGAATTTTCAGCAGTGAGTACTTAAGATTTGTTGTCCAACTGAGGGTTCCATTTAGAACCAGTTACGTCTCATTGTTCCCATCAGGTCACAATGAAAGGGATTCCGCCACCCTACAGAGCTTCCTTTCAGTTTAAGGGTCCCTGGCTGATACAATGGGAAGTATGTCCAGTTGTTTTCAAACGATTAAACTACAAGTGATGAAGACACCCTTGAAAGTTTCGAAAAAGCCTTTGTTGACTTTAACCCACAGAAGTCAGGGACAAGTGACCTCAAGTGTTCCTGGATGCCGTGGGCCAGTCGTCTTCTGCGTGGTGGGAGTGGTGGAAGCTTCGAGATGGGATCTCCTGTGAGCTTGAACTCACTGAGTAGCTGAGGATGATCTTGAACTTCTGGTCCTCTGGCTTCCATCTCCGGAGTGCTGGGATTATAGGTGTGTGCTACCAGGTCTGGTTTGTGTGGTGCTGGGGCCAGGGCTTTGTCGATGCTAGGAGACACTCTACCAAAGGAGCTCTGTCCCTAGGCCCAGAGTGACCCTGGGATGGGAAGGAAGCTGTGAGGATGTGCTTCCACCCACTGCCAAGGTGTCAGCAAACTGTGTTGAATTCCAGACTTCCCAATTCAGGGACAGCAACACAGAGACATGGGACACGGATTATTGGACTTAGTGCCTTCCAATGGGGATAACTAGTAGGGATGATAAAGCTGTCGGATGGGAGGTTGAAAGACTGGGAAGTGACTTACA